TCAGAAAATAAAAACACAATTCTTTGAATAAAACATACTTTTCTCTCAAATGGTTATTCATTACTGGATATAGAGTTATAGTCTATTAATAGGTTTTCAATCGATTTTCCGGCTCTGACTTTATTTCAGAAAATCATATAATTTTATATACATTTTGTAATCCGATTGACATAATACTCATATATTATTCATCAATAAGCCATTCAATTATGAAATTATTTTGCATTAATTAATGCAGAACTACATAATAACTCCATATCTATAAATAATTCAAAAGGTATCGAATATTAAAAATGAAATTTTAATTAAAATGAAAGAGATTACCGTATAATAAAAAATGCATATTCAGTACATAGAGCTGAATTGTTTAGTAACTAGGTATACTGAATAATTTTGTAGTGGAAACTTTTATAAAAGTTACAAAGCAATTTTTGCTATTTTTTAATCTAATACTTATAGAGTTTTGTGATATTTTTGCCAATAGTTTCTACAGTAATGAACAAATCTATAAAACAATGAATTCATTAAACAACTGATATATAGGATTAAAACAAAATAGATTTTCATTCAAAATCATGTATAAAAATGCAATAATTTTATTTTTGCCAATAGTTTCTACAGTAATGAACAAATCTATAAAACAATGAATTCATTAAACAACTGATATATAGGATTAAAACAAAATAGATTTTCATTCAAAATCATGTATAAAAATGCAATAATTTTGGTGCCCATCACAGCTCTGCCCTTAAATAAGATTTTGGCTTTTATTTGGCGAACGTGTCCTGAATTGATAACATTTCAAGTGAAATGCATTAAACGAAAAAGCCATCGCTTACTCCTTCATCCCTTTCCTGCCGTTCCCTTTGATTATTCTCATCACTAGATTTGGAAAACTTTTGCGAAATGCATAAAAGAGTTGTCAAAGTATTTGCACAAAGAATTAGATGTAAATCTCGGGCGAAAAACGATTTATTTTTTAGTCAGAAACTCATTTAGTAAACAAAGAATTATCATAATTATTACCCAAACAACAAATACGGAATACATATACAAATGAAATATATTTTTGTTGGGAAAGTTGGCTTTTGCATTGTTTATAGAGTACAGTAACACTGGTGCTTTTTTGAGTCTCTAATGCACTATTCGTGTCACAGAATATATCAAAAAGATAAACACAACATGTTTTCATTATTCATATATTAATTGATCTCTCAATTGTATGAAATATAAAAATAGCATTCAATTAATGAGATCACATGAGATGCGAGTAGAGGGAGACTAAGGGACAAAACAAATGCAAAATTGAATAATAGCTGAGAAACTCGCTATCAATCAAAGTCTGTTGAGCAAACTTTTATTATTTGCTGTGATAATCGCATAAGTAATTATCATAAGTCTTAATAATAATGTACCACCCATTCAAATGTCAACCCACTGTCTCGACTTAGATTGACATATCGGTGCAGACTATTAGTTTAATTAAATCTTATGTATATTTATTTTAACGCTATTTTCCTTTCCCTTTCTTTTGCAGTGTTTTGCAGCAAAACGACAACAATTGTTAAAAATAATGGACTATTAATAAAGTGAACAAATAATACATTGTTATAATAATAACAATGAATTTTGAATACATATATCGATACATATGGCCGTTCACTCGACTCAGGCTCCGGTCGTTTCGGGAATTGGCGCTAATTATCGCCACATTTATGTGTATATCGCTATATCTGACCACTTATTTGTTTGACTCGTCGCCACCACTACTCAACCGATCCTTCTTTAATGGTAACCAAACATCAAAACAAGACTTTTCTCATAATTTCCATTAGTTTTGACGAGAAATAAAATAATTATTTTATTACTACAATAGCTATAGAAATGAGGGATAGGGATACCCGTCCAATAAATTTGATTAACATTTCTCTGCCTCTCGTTTTTCTGACGCTTTTCTATTATATTATGATAAACGAGAATATAATAGAAGAGCTAACGATGTAATCGTTTTTATATGCAATTCATATATAAAACACAATATTTTGAGATTAATTTTTTATTAGGAGGGGGCAGATAGCAAATCTTATTATATTATGATAAACGAGAATATAATAGAAGAGCTAACGATGTAATCGTTTTTATATGCAATTCATATATAAAACACAATATTTTGAGATTAATTTTTTATTAGGAGGGGGCAGATAGCAAATCTCATGTCTAACGCAAAGGCAACTCTTTTTTATATATTTCAGATGGTCTGCCCACCGCTTTTCAACAGCCGGTGCGCAACATATTATCGCAATTCAACAATAATTTCATGAATAGTCAACTGAAATATAGCCCCAGTTTTGCAGCTTCTGGTTATCAGTCGGCCGTCGATCAAAGATTACACAAACTTTTGCGTGAAGTAAGAAAAAAAGACAAATTATTTTCTCTCATATCTTGCGTTAGTTTTGTAATTTCGCTAAAAACATGCAACTCTTTTGGTGTTCACTGTTTTGAGGGAAAATATGGAGATAACACACATTTGAGAAGTTATTTGAAAACTCAATTAACTGGAAATTGAATTAATTTAAGTGAAACAAAAAATATATACATTTGTGTATTGAGAAAAGGGTGAGCACCGACTCGTGAATATAATCTAGTTGTACATATTTATACTCACATCCCAGTGCTCTTTTGCAGAAGTCTTAATTGGATTATAAATGTCAAACAAATGCCATAAATTTAATCACAATTTAAAAATCGTTTAAAATAAATGTTTGAAAGCATTAATGTTTATGCAGTTATAGTTTCATTCCTTATAAAACTAGTGAATAAACGCTTTTAATATTGAAATTTAGTATTTTCTAAAGTTAAGTCTTAGGTTACATAAGAATTACTTTGAAAGCAATTGTGATTTAAATATCAGTAAATATATTAACAGTTATGAAATATGTCTAGAAATCGGATTAACATTTCTTTTTCGTTAAAAGTATTTTGCATATTAAATATTTAAATAATTTTCTCACATTATGCTTAATAATCAAATAAATTCAAGTGTTACATGAACTCAAAATGAATATAATCTTTAAAGTCATTTGTATTTATTTTTACTATTATTGTAGATATAAATGAGTGGCACATGTTTCGGAAAAACTAATTATCTCTCATTTTATTAATTATTAATATATATAAATTCATATTTTCAAATGATTTATACCATTTAATAGATTTAATTAAAACATTAAATTATGTTTTTATTTGAAAAATTTTAATTACAAATAATTATGAAAAATAATATACTGTAAATTATGTAAAATATAAGATTAGAAAATATCCAATGGAAATGTTAATATTTTGCTAGTCTTTTACTTTTGTATATAATTATTATGCATTATTAACGTTTTGTCGAGTAATAAATATACTTAGGAAAAACATAAACGTAAGTATTTCTCAATAATATTATTATATTTTCCGGGTACCAATGTTATTATTCGACAACTATATGTCCATTAAGACATTCAAAATTTACTTCATAATGGAGCTCATTAATAAAGCTCCCTGTGCAAATGCATTAAATAAATTGCACAATTAAACCCTAAATAATCCAAATTTATTTAATAACAAAATTTAATCAACAGAAGTCTAAAAGATAAACATTATTTAAAACGGAAATAAAATTTTTATTAATTTTTTAATTATTGTTGAGTTTACAATTGAAATTCTCTAAAATTTTTATTATCAGTTTTAATTATAGAAAGTTAATGTTTATTAAGGAAGTCATAAGTAGAGAGTTATGCTATAATAATAATATAGCGATTGCCTTATATTATAGCGAATAATAACAAGAATAACACATTTATACAGAATATTATGTTTGCAATTATATATGCTTTCATGAAAAACTCAATGCTATTAAATAAATGGATAATTCGATTTGGATTTGAGATAAATTCTCATTAAATTATTAAAAATGAAAATTTCATTACATTTTATGATATTCCGTACAATTATATTAATATAAATGAAGTATTATTATTAATATATGGGAGAGAAAGATATATTTTATGTTTTCAAGTAATTAATGCATTTAGAAATGGGAAACTCTAAACTAATAATTCTATTGTATTTTTGAAATATTTTCGACTAATTTATAAAAATGAGTTAATAATTAGCGCTGTTTTGAGACATGAATATAGAGTTTTGGGTCTATGTTTATGCTATGCTATGAACTATTTTATTAAATGTCAAATAAAAGGGAAATGTATTTAAGCCTTAATGTCTGATCGATTTTTGTGTGCAATTAATGCCATAAAATAAATGCAAAAATTTAATTTAATTTCAAATTATATAATTTAAATGTTAATTTAATATAGAATTTAAGAAAATAGCTTAAATTAAATATCGCACCCATTTTTGGTGTAAATCCTGGCACACAATGATATAATTTAATAATGGCTTTAATGTTATTATAGATATTTGTCTGTTTAGTATCTTTCACTTTCAATTCCGCAGATAACTTGTAATGGGAAGGGATGGGAAGGGATGGCACTAAGAATTGTGTATCACAACTGAAGTGCCAGTGAGAAAAGTGACGTCTCTTTCTGTGTGTGAAAAACAAAAAATTAATTATACCAATGGAAAAGGGATTCATTCAATGATTTATATGTGTTTGCGTTTAGAGTATAGGAAATGTTAAGAAATTTTCAAATTTCAAGTGAAATCATAAGTAATCTTAAAGACATTGACAACCGAGATGTATAAACAGAGATTGTGAACACATTTGCAAATTGTATGAATCGTTTATGCACCGTAAAATATCATGTTATAATTAATTTGCTAATGTTTTGTCGTAAAACATTTTTTGCAATTAACAGTTGATTGAGTTTTTCGAAAGGATATATGACTTAAATTTTGCGGAGAAAATAACAATAATTTAGTGTTCATTTGAAAAGTAATATTGAGGTACAGACACACCCAAATGCCACCACAACTACACATACCAAACAGTTAATTTTTATAATGGGATCGCAGACCCAGAGAGAGAGAGAGAGAGAGAGAGAGAGAGAGAGTCAGACACACCCAAATGCCACCACAACTACACATACCAAACAGTTAATTTTTATAATGGGATCGCAGACCCAGAGAGAGAGAGAGAGAGAGAGAGAGAGACTGGCTCTTTGCTATTCAAAGCGATCATTAATTTTATTTTATAACTTCCATACCGTATGTAAAGGACGGCCACACATACAAAATATATGTTTATCTCGTATTCAGATCTGTTATTCTCAGCCAACAAAAACAAATCTCCAAAATAGTAGTATTGATCCATTCATTCACGTGTTGTTTCTTATTCTTGTTTTTTGGAAATTTTATTATTTTGCTTTTTTGTGCCCTTTTTGGTGGTATTGTTTTTTATTTGTATTACTTATACGAGAGTCTAAGTGCGAAAAGTTTTATTGGATTTACGGTTGCATTGAAATTATAAGCGCTTTGTTGTGTTATTCTTGTGAACACAGAATATGGGAATTCCTTCACTATTTTTCTCTGCATATTATATCTAATATTCTCGTAAAATAAGTATTATTTATGAATATTTTATACCTTTTTGCGTTAACTTGTTTGCTCGCATTCATGTAATAATAATAATAATCAAACCGAAAGCATTGGCACAACATTTTGCACTATTTTGAAAAATATATGTCTTTGCGGTGAATACACATATCATTACTGAAAGTATTGCAATAAAATTCTTACATAAAAACTTAAAAAAGTTTTTCATTGTAAATCCGTTTTGATATTGGTTTCAACAAAAATTATAGAGCATATAATAGACAACTCTATACATTATTCTCATCCATTTCCCTTTTTCTTATATGTTTTACTTTAATATAGTAATAATAAACATATCATAACTTTTTTGTGAAAACTTTCTCCAACCATAATAAGCCTTTTTTATAGGAAAACATTAAACAGAACCCCCGCTATCTCTCGGTTTATAGCAAACTTTATCTAATATTAATCTCTACTAAATATTACAGTGAATTCACTTTATAATAAACCGATTAATAGTGTACAGAATTATGGGAATTTATAGGAAGCTATTACTTAATGTTATGATATATTTTAGTAATAGTATAATACATTGTTTACCATAATAACTTTTTGTAATTTATTTAAGTAACTTTTTTGCAAGCACATATTTCACTGTGTTTTATGTGACATAAAAGCGACAGTTGCCTGTATAAAATTAGAGCAAAACTTTTATTTTAAAAAGTGAAAAACTTTTCTATTTGATTTGTGTCGTGAATTTTAATCAAAGAGATTTTCGCTGTATTTTTCGTATACATAATGCATAAAATATTTTAATTCCTATTGTTTAGGAATTAGTGCCACAATTCTTGCAATAGTGTAGTGAATATAAATGAACAGATAATGACTGAAAGTTTTTACACTGTTGTCTTATAGAGATGTCATAAATTTATAAAATACATTCTCATTGTTTTTGTAGCGAAAATAGTGCACATTTTTCATACATAATCTTATTTATATTTAAGCTTAACGTTAAGCGTATAAAGAATACAATGGAGTGAATAGTATATATGAAAGTCAGTGATCACACCATGATTTTTATATGACATTAAAACCCCTTAAAACACAATTACATTATATGTTATTCTTTGGTTTTTTGGATGAGTCCACAGAATCTCTAAATACATATAAGCGATAGAAAGGTCACCAAAACTAGAGAAAAGCATTTTTGATGTTTATGTTTCAAAAAAATAATAAAACATGAAAAATCTGACTGAGATATAAAAACTACTGATTTATTAATTAAGATTAACGGTCGATGGGATCGATATGGACAGTCAGTTTTTTACACTGAAATAAATTTTTCATTTCCAAGCAGTTCTCCTAAATATATATATTTTTTATCCATTTATTATTTAATAGGATTTTTTTGCTCGGATTATATGCCAATTATTTTTATGTTTTGTTGAAATAAATTTTATTAGTTTTTCGGTTTTTAATATAACCGTATTTTTGTGTTTTTTTGTGTGTGACTTCCGGTGCAAAAACATAATTGCAATTTTAATGGAAAAATTAATGGAGAATAGCGAGCAAAATAAATATAGTAATTGTTCACTAAAAATAACTGGAAATTACATTTCAAACAATACGATTAATTATTATATTTGAGTTTGTTTTTGTTGAAATAGAAAAGCCATACAAATTGACATTTTATGGGTTTAATTACTCGGAAGATATTAAACAAACCAAAAATCTCTTTATTCTCATAATTCATATTCAAAATAAGTTTTCTTTTTTAGGACCTTGTTAGTGTTTTTTATATAAAAGTATATATGATATAACTTTATTTTGCTTATACTGTAGTTAACAAGAAATTAAGTATTGATTTCTAGCTGTTTATCATTTAATATAATAATAAAAAAGTTTTATATGTTTTCATATGCTGTTTGATAAAAAGGATTATAAAAACGTGAATAAAGAATCTCATAAAATTTCAAATCATAGCATAATATCTGACAGATTTATGACTCAAGAAATAGTACTTTAAATGTAAATCAAATGTTTAATATTAATATTATGAAATACATATAAAAAGTCTTCAAACCGAATGATTTTAATAACAAAATTACTTTCAATGCAACAGACGATGCCTTTTGCACTAATGTCTGCACTTTAGCCAAATTCTAGTGAATCTTAATATATAATTCTCTCTCTCTCTCTCTCTCTCACACACACACACACACACACACAGAATTATATCATATAAATAAACTGTTATTATTATCCCTAAGAGTTAACATTTTGCTGGAATTACATATAAAAAGGATCACAAAATAAGAACTTCACTCTACATTTAATGTAAAAATGCAACTTTTATGAGCTCTGGCCATAAATTTTAATTATTACAAAAGATATATTATAAATAATTTCTACAGTATTCCAGTGTTGAGCTTAGATTGCATTTGCAGTGCACTCTTCAACACACAAACACTACGACCAGATTCTGGCCGTAATTGTAGTCAAAAAATGTTTTACTCTCACTTTCTTTATGTGAACATTTGGAGAGAGAGAGAGAGAGAGAGAGAGAGAATCGTAGATGAAGTTGAAGTCTGAATAGTTATGGTTATACTTAACACACATACGGAATATTGGTGTGTATTGTGTACTGTATATAACCATACGTTATATAAAGAGTTAACTTCTTATTATATGTGTGTTTAGAGACCACAAGAACTGATTAAATAGACAACAAAACTATTGTCTTAAACCATAAACACATTTTGTTTGGTACATGACTTTAGTGTCTATAAACACGAGAACGTATAGTAATAGCTTCAGAAACTATAGGGATTTGTCAATAATTTTCTTTATTTAATAAAAATCTAATTTTCAAATTGAATCGATAGCTCAGTCAACAGCCCAAAGGGACACAAAAATGATATTCAATCGCCATAAAAATGGTAGTGAAAACACATGAAATAAAAATTTCAAAGCTTTTTAGAGGCTGAAAACTGTTCACTACTTTTTCTCATTCATGTGTTTATGTGAAAAATGAGAGTGAATTCGGAAACGAATTGATAGGAAATAAACAGAATATATTTGTCTGAAACATCCAAATAGAGGTTTGCTTTCAACTAAAGCATAGAAAATATAATTACATAAAAAATTATTATTTATAGTAATATATTATAAATACTAACATGAGATATTAAAATATAGGCAATAAACTTTTTTGTGTTTTAACTCTAAACCTAGATTTAGTTTTGAGTTATTTCTCAGATTCCTCTCAATTTTATTCTATCGTCTATTTATTCTTGCGCTGCCTTTCCTATATGGACGCCGGGATGCTCACAAAATATGTGATACCTTATAAACAGTATATTGTATATTGTATTAGGTATAAAGCCGATAATATGACGAGTATTCTATCGTCTATTTATTCTTGCGCTGCCTTTCCTATATGGACGCCGGGATGCTCACAAAATATGTGATACCTTATAAACAGTATATTGTATATTGTATTAGGTATAAAGCCGATAATATGACGAGCTCTCAACTAAATTGCATTTATATTTACTGTAGGATGGATTCAAGTGTAGCACAAAAAATATGCACCATTTGGACACTACTCTTATATTAACAAAAAAGTCAATTTCTATATTACAAGTGCTATGCTTTTTATATGTTATGCTTATCAGCAGCTTCTCCACCACTTTCATCAATCAATCAAATTATAGTTTTATTATTCATTCACATATTGAGTGTGAAAATTGGTTTCCTTCTTATTTTGATTATGAAATCTGTTTGTGATTTGTTTCATTTGGTTTTCAGTTGCTTATCATTTGCTTTATTATTCATTTATGTATATTCATTTGATTCAATGAATAATTCAATTTATTAAATTTAATCCTATAAATAAAACTTTATTTTAAAAATGTGCACATACAGTTATCTTATTAATAAACACCCTTTCCCTATTATACAATGTACAAGGGTAGAAGTTTTATTTGATAAATATACTACCTAAAAATAGATTGCAATCTAATTCTCAGTATTTGTCTGACATTGAGATTATTGCCAAAAATATATCTCATTAAATAGAGATTCAAAGATTTATATTCTATATAAGACTTTGTTTAATAAGAAATAGTGAGTTATATAACTCCATTCAATATTTTCTCGCTTTATATTGCTATCTAAAAACTAAAACTTAATTTATGTTTTATATGTTATTTGTTTGAACATTAATTTCAATTCTGTTTGTTATTTCGTTAAACTGTAAGGAAAACTGGTGTATAATAAATAGGTTTGACAATCAATTTCTATCTGTATATTCTGTAGACTAGTGGCATATCCAGGTCTCAACGAACAAGTCTTTTATATATTATATATTTTTATTTTACTTCAATAATACTGTTTATTTCAGTTATAAAACTGCTCTCTCTCTCTCTCTCTCTTTCTCGCTCGCTCTCTCTCTCTCTCTCTCTCTCTCTCTCTCAATATCCAAAACAAATGGATGAGAAGTTATTTGAACACACATTCAAAGCTAACAAATATTGTTTTTATGGCAACTCTCTTACTCTTCTCACATCCCTTTCCACTCTTGTAATGATTAGTGCAATAAAGCGGAACATAATTCTATTGACAGACACTATAATTAAGTTAATGTTTGCTAGCATTCAATGTGTTTGAAATTTAATATTACTTTTGTATCGTTTGATTTGTGCTTATATTTTGTGTACAATGTTTTCAAACATAAAACAATTTCACATATTATTAATTTACTTTTTATTTAAATAATACGTTGACATTAAATGTAAAATTAAATAAATATTCACATATTTACTGAATTTCTACTTCTGAAAATTATTTTTATTTTAAATAAACTTTTATTAAAAACAAAATAAATAACATAAGAAATCTATAAATAGGGTATTCATAGTTTCTCATTAGCACACTATTAGGTAGTTTTGTTACTTAATTGACAAGTATATTGTTAAACGAAAAACTAATTATAATATTGATCGACAATTAATACACGATTTGATATTATCCAGAAATATATGTTAAACCTATTAATTGATCGACGAAAACATAACACAAAAGCAAAGTTTTGTTACCAAAAAGCCTTTTTGATTCATTTGTAGTCGTATTCAACATTTCACAACACATTTCAGATTCAAATTGAAACTCATTTTGAATTAAGTCTGACATGAATACAGAGTTTGCACTAAAACTTTTGCCAAACTTCCATTGAATACCAGGGAATAGAAAATAACATTCAATTGAATGGCATTTTTAATCAATGAAAAAGAAAACTTCTCATCAATTATTTGTGTTTCTATTAGATTAACGGGAATTTAATTTTTGTTTCGCTCATTCAAAGCATTCATACGTTATTTATAATACGAATTATCAGGCTAAAACCTGGTACTAACGTAATTTAAAACTTTAATAAATTTAATGTACTTTAAAATAAGAATAATAACGAAATTTTTAGAAGTTATCTTTGTAAATTATTTAGACTACCTTAAATTTGGTTAACATTATAATAAAATATTTTATTTGAATTTATAACTAAATTTTGTCAAATTCACAGTATTTTCAAAAGTTTGAAAAGAAAAGAAAATTTTTCAAAACATATATAAATAATTAAATAGTGTTTTCAAAAGAAAAATGTATTTTCATCTCAATGAACATAAAGTTGTGGAGAATATACGTTCTTTAATTATCGTTTTGTGATTTATATTCCTTTATTAAAAAAAATAACAGCAAATTCAATACCAATAACAGCATTGAGTTTATGTTTATAACTATAAATATGTTTTACAAAGCTGTTTACTATATATTTCGTGAATTAAATTGAATTAAATGTGAAAAATTATTTCCGAGTTGCAAAAAATGTTGCAAAAATAGTCGATATTATAAAGTAAATAACGAAATTAAAATTATTGTTTGCAAACAAATATTACATCTTTTGAATGATAATATGGTAACTAAACTATGGTTCGTAGGAAACAATGAGACAGACCTGAGGATAGGGAGGGAATGAGAGGAATGACATGAAAAAGTCTTGATATATGTGTCTCCATTGGAATTCTATTACATTTTTCTTTAGTTTCTTTGAGTTCATATCCTTTTGCATGAGTTTTAAAGCTTAAAATCATGATTTATATCGACATTTATTATAAAAATCCCATCGGGAGGCCTACCATCCATGTGCTCCCGAATAGAAATCGTAAGCCAAGAGACACCAGAAGAGGACTGAATAAGACTTCTTCTTCTCTCTCTTGTCGGAGCCAACGATTCAATGAGTTATTCACTCAGTCATAGAGAAGTGTTTATTTCATATATCAATAAAATATGAAATATAAATGCATTTTATGTCTCGTGAATAGAGTTTATAAATTCAGAGCTGAGTTCATGTTTATTGTATCAAAAGTGTTAGACATTGTAAATGGCATCAGTTATGTCACTATATAATGGTGCTATCCTATCAATTATTTATTATAATCAGTAATAAAAAGGCATAAAATTTATTATTTAAACTTATGGCATAAGTTTAATTTAAATACAAAATATTATATAATAAAATTTATATGCACACTATACTGAATAGTTAGAAAATGGATTTTGAAAACTTTTATGAAATTGTTTTTGTTTGACAATTAGTGCGTAAGATTTTTCTAATATTTTTGTCTACTATTTGTTTTTATATTAAATATTTCTTTAAGACCAGATATTTGATGTCAAATATTTATTTTATGTCTGGTTTTAAGAACAATAGTTATTGTATGGTATGAATAGAATAAGAGTTTTCATGTTTAATAAAAAGTTTGAAAATAATTAAGATTATCTTGTTATTAGAAAAATTTTTTAAATATTAAACTGATAACAATTGCTTTTACAAACAAATAATAAATTAATAACAAATGAACACTTGTTTGACAAAATCTGTCACGTTTAGTTTTGGTAAGTTATTATTCAAACTTTATTAGTATTCTATAATTATGAAAGTATTCAATTAGTATTTGAATAAATAGTAAATATTATACTATAAACTTAATAACTCAATAAAGATATTTGCCTTTAATAGTAATGCATCTAATAATGATATATTTATTAACTGATTCTACAGAATATTCTGTATATATATATATATTCAGTATATTCAATGTATATATTCTGTTCAGTTGGACTTACTTACGATCAGTTCATTAATCATAATTAAAGAGAGAGAGAGAGATTGCAATAGAAATCGTATTCAATAGTAATAGGATTGAGATGAACATCAAAAGAGTATTTTCGATGTCATTAAATATTTATTAAAGACTTGCGATTAATGTTTGTCTAATCAGAAGTACATTTTCTCTCAATCCCTGACTGTGTCTTGTCGTACAGATCGAGGAGACAACGGTTCCCAACCCTGCGAGTACAAAACTGGCATTAATTAGGGGCCAAAGAAGTGTCATTTCCAGAGACTTTGCCGCTTATAGATCAGCTCTGGAGCGCCATAAGTTCAGTATAGACGCCCCCAATTGGCTCAGATCTAAACGCAGGGCATCCACACAAACGGCTCAGAATATGACGGGTAATAAGACCTTTCTTATATCTTTCAATATAAGATATTTCTTATATTGAATATTGAATGAGAATTTGAGAGTTCAAGAAAAAAGGATTTAAAACACAATTCCTTTTCGAAAGTTAAACCTTTATATAAAATAGACTTTTTATGTGATATTTGGTTGCCGTTGATCTTATCCTACTTTTGTTGCCTACTGTTACCTCGCTATTCATGCACTGACTGACACGATCAGACCTAAAGGATTGGCTGATCTTATTTTGTTTGGCGTTCACTGATGGAGACGACGGCTTCTGTCTTCAGCGCAAAGATATTCAGACATTAAAACCCTATCAAAAAGTGAATAGAATTCCCGGATTACGAAACCTATTGTGGAAAAGAGACACGTTTTGCCAGACTATGACTGAGGCCAGGAAAGTGCACCGTTAGTACAAACACATAATTGCTCATCATATATTATATTAGCATTTAGTTATCTTTTTTATGTCATCCCATTTGTGTGTCCATTATATTTATTGATACATTTAAGATGTGATCAAAGTTGTGAAATACAAAGACTGTTATGAAAATATCAGTATTACTTCTCAGGCCAGTGAGGAGAGACAAAAGAATACGGTTTGGTTAAAGTTGTCAAGTAACTACAACGTCTTCCATACGGAGTGAAAAAGCATCAGTGATTTGAACTAGGTTGATTTGACATACAATACCTATAATGTTAAAATCTTACCCAATCTATGACGGTTCCTATCATCATATCATAGCATATAATATATGGTTGGAATCAGCTCAATGAGTTGATTAAGAAATTATCTTCTTTGACCATGAAGGAATATTAGTTGATCCAGATTAAGAAGTGAATTTCTGAACCTACTCATTAAGCTGATTCTAACCATATATCACATGCAATGATTCGATGGTCGGAACCGTTAATATTTTACTATATCAGGTATTGTAGGTCAAATTAACGTAGGTAAAATCATAGACAACCTTACTTTTTATTACTACTTATAGCTGCTATTATTTAGTTAATTATTTTAAATAATTTTAATAAAGTTTTAATTTTTAAATGTTAGTATACGGTATTTATTAGTAAAGTGATCAGTTAGATTTGACTACAATTAGTATTTGTGTTAATTTGCTAAATGTCTTGCATTGAAGCGCTGGGATATTCAGCCGAATGGCTCTTAAAGCCGATAAGCATAGGCGGACACTCATCAGGAAACGGTCCGCAACTGATCAACATTTTCACTAATGAGGGAAGGGATCGACTCCGAGAATATAACGTAAAGAGAGGTGTCATACAGCAATACATCGCTAATCCTTTGCTCGTCTTTGGACAACCCGTCAGTTTGAGACTTTACGTAATCGTCACATCTATGGCGCCGCTCAGGGCTTATGTCCACAGCGAGGGACTGGTGTTTCATCGATACGAAGAAAATAGAAATTATAAAAAAGTAATCTTAGACATTTTAGATATATTCTAAATGATTAAATATGAATTCCTAATAATTAGATCCCGGGTCGCACGTGGATTCTGAGCCAATTCTGGCAGTTTATATCGAAAAACAACGGAACCGATAGCATGAAGAAAGCAATTAATAGCATATATCGAGCGATTCTGCAGACATTACTGATAGCGGAGGCTATGCTTATAACACAACAACAACAGCACTCGACAATGCATTCAAATAACATTAATTCCGAACGACTTTTGTTCGCCAAATGTAACTCTTGTTTCCATTTAATGGCTTTCGATATTATACTGAACTCCAGTTTAGAGCCATTTATCATAGGTTTGTAATTCGTTGCTTAAAAACAATGCAATTACTGTATTGCTCTTCATAGCTATTAATGTTTAAGTAATTTCTAAGAATTGACACAAATATTCTGACTGTGATTACATGTTATAATTGAATGTACAGAAGTGAATGGTCAGCCCAATATGCAGGAGTCACGGAAGGACGAGTCGCCCCTTTCAGGCGGCGTAAAGAAACTGATTCTCGACGATGTCATAGACCTAATCAGTGCAACCGATTTGGTGGCCAACGATGTCTCCGAAGCATTAGATGAGGTGATTGACGAGAATATCGGCGTAATGGGCATCAGTTGTCATATATCTCACGACCTGTGCTTAAGTAGAGATGATTTGAGTTATTTATTGAGTTCAAGACGAGAGGCACTAAATAAGGGTTCGTTTAAGAACTTATATCCGGCGCTCGGAATCGAGGCATACAAACCCCTAATCGACGAATTGAGTCAATTGATTGTCGCCCAAAGTGTGGGCCAAACACCTAACGAGCTGTCGGTGCACAAGACGGCAGACCTGCATCCGCTTCTCATGTCTTTAGAGCGCTATTATTACCGGCATATCATCGACGAGGAGTACGGCGACAGCGCCGGTAACACCGCTAACGAGCACTCGACTCGCAATCAAATCAGTTTCCATAACAGTTCCGTCTATTTAAGCGACAAAAACCCATTTGACTCGACAGTCAACGGCTGTTCCGATGGTAAGTGTTCTTCACTTACAACTCTATTAATTGTAATGTGTTGTCGAAAAGTGATCACAAGTGTTCACTTGTGTTCATTTATTGTGTGATCCTTATGGCTATTAAAAGATAAAAACAATTTATCACATATTTCTTGTTTGTCTTGTGCAGAGCCCTCATCACTGCCTTATTTAGCGTCTATTGAATTGAGTCCTAAATTACAATTAATGCCTCCATTTTCGCCACTTATCACACAATATCACTGCAATGTCTCATACGAACAGCTTATGGTCAGTGTTTGGGCCAAAGCCCAGAACTGTCAGAGCGAAGTGAGATTAGAAGATAAGTTTGGTTCATCCAGGTATGTATGATATGCTATGATAGTGAACAGACATGTATTCTCTGCGAAGAATATTCTGTATATAACTCGCACTCATATAAATGTGTTGTAATAATCATAACGATAAATAATAGACGATGTAATAAGTTAGAGTGAGAGTTGGATACGTCGTCGAGTAACTCATTAATTGCAATGTATTTGAATTGTCTCTTTAATGTCTAACTATCTGGTAATGTGTGTCCAACAGAACGACAAATTATACTCTTGGAATTGGGGTCAATAAGATATCGCTGGTTGTGGTCGATATATCACATACAGAGCCGTGGGTTATAAACACATACACTCTCATCATAAATCGTGTTCCCGTCACCCATAATGTGCCTGAATTTCGTGCACAACTACCTCATCGAGTTTGTTCATTCACTCAAGTATGCCATCCGTTTGTCATACGATTTAATTATAGCACTTATAGGCCTGACATCCATATAGTGATATACACTATCAGAGTCTCTTTGACTCTATCTAAAGAATCACTTTCTGTTAAATACCTATACATTGAATGCAATGAATAATTAATGAGTGTATCGTATTTGAATACAAAACCATTTTCTCCATCCGATAGGACTGTGATATGAGAGTCTTTCCACGCAATCAGTGCGGACTCAGCGAACAAAACGATTACTCCGATTGGAGGGCATTCCTCTACAGACAATCGTTGACCACAAAGTGTAGGACAGGGGCCGAAAGTGGGCACTGGATGGTGCCGTGTCAGAGCTGCCACAACTCGTCCACCTGCTACTGGCGAGAGGCCCGATGGGATCCACTCCAATGCCATTACCCCATTCTCTCGCAAAAGAGGCTCTCCTCATGCCTCACCAACAAAAAGGTAATCAATTTATAATTGCAGGCAATTATTACATAATCATATCAACGCATTAATTATTAATTAAATAATTACTCTCCGTATGAGAGTTGGGTTTATAATGAAATTGAAATTTCTCTCTGTTTGTACCGACCGTACAATCGACTTATAGAGTATTCTGTATGACATTATAAATTTATATTATATATCATTTTACAATAAAATACGATTTAATTTACTAAAAGGATTATCGCATATAAATATGGATTTAAAGCCTAAAGAATAGGGGGCCGAACCAGTATGGGTGCGGTCTTTATAATAGTTTTGTTAGTTGACAACAATTCAAATATAATTAAAATACAATTTAATACTTTGTATACTTTATTTCCTATAGACTACTAATTGAATTAAAACTTGATATGTGTTTGAAACTTGAATTAAATGTATAGATACTATTCGTGGGCGACTCAACCAACAGAGGAATTATGCATTACTTGATTGAGAGACTCAACGGAACACTCGTCGACTGGGATAAGACACACGACTTGAAAATATACCCAAATATGAATAGAAAGAAGACTTTAATTAGTTTCGCGTATTATCCCAAGTTTTGGTTACCCACTAATCAAAGGCCATCGTTTGATAGAGCAGTTTATCAACTCTTTGAAAAGTATTTTGTCAATTAGTTTTCATCAATTGTTAACACGTTTTATCGAAATATTTCTAATCATTTATCTAATAATGTATTTCTTGGTCTCACTTAGAGTACAGCCCTTAGAGAATAACTCAAACACTGTATTAATCTTCGGTGGCGTTCAATGGCTGGCGACACAACACATCCATATGTTGCTCAAGACATTAGCGAAGTACGACATCATTGATATATAATTAATGAATAAATACTTAGCTCGGGATATGAGATGAATAAATTAAAGGGGTTTTATTATTTTTTGTAATGTAATAAATTGTTAATTAATTAGATTTTTTGTTTACTATAATATATGAGATCAGCCTATTGATTTATGAATAGGATAATGCGTGTGTTTTGGTCTCTTTTTTGATATTTTAACATGAGTTCACAATTTTAATGAATTGTTTTTCTCTTTTGTATATTTTTTTATGAATCAATGAATAGTTTGAAACTTCAAGGAATCAAACTCGTAATGAAGACATTGGGCGCCGGCTTTCATCAACATATAGAAGGCGTTCACTGTCTCTCTTTAGTCAGTAGAATATTCTTGATCTCAAGAATCATATTATTATTAATTGAAAATATTTTTTTTATTTACAGAAAGAGCAGCAGAGGTATCGGGAGGTATTGTAACTTGAGTAAAGGATACGTTACTTCAATCCGAATCTTCATCAGCTATGAATGTTATATTGTTAACGGTTTAAGTTTCTGAAATACGGGCCTTTTACACGGACGGTGAAAGTTCAGGTAATATATTGATCATTATTTAGTTTATATAACGAAAATATTATGCTTACATATGGTTTTATATGTGATTTATTATGTTTGGGTTTGATATATAGATATCTGAGATGAGCTCAAATGACATAAATTCTGGTCAACCCTCACAGCATACGACATACCGAGTGGACGGACATATTAATGCAATTTATACTAATATACTCATCAGCAGAATCTGCGAAAACTTCGAGGATGAAACAGATTATAGATAACAATCAATCAGTTTTTGCCAAATAAATACTTCTGTGATCTAATTATTTATATGATTAATATTAATACTGTATATAAAATTACTTTGTTTCTATTTTATATTTTAAAATAACAAATGTTATATATTGTAATAAACATAATGTTTTTAAATACTTTATGTATAATATTTTAAATTAATTATATTATGAGCTTTTATTGTCTTTCAGAGTATATTCTCAAAGAATCTCATTTCAGTTATTCTTAAATGACGTTAAAAACTTTAATCTTATTATTATTATGGATTCAATAAAATTATTATTTTAATTGTTACAAATTTCATTAATTTTATGTAAACTAGATACTTCAGTACTGTTTATGGTTTGCTTTATACTGTAAGAAAATGATCTTAAAAAGAAAATGAATAATAATAAAGTAGAGCTCATTTTACAAAGTCTATTAGGTTATATTGACTTTACTTTTGATTTTGCATTAAATACAATAAATTTTATACAATATTGTAATATTTACTACTTATCGACTACTATTTAATAAATATTTTTTCCTCAATTAGAATGAAAACTATTTTCTTATTCAAAAATATATTGATTAGTAAAAAATAATTTTTATTCATTTATATTCTATTATATGGAGTGTTCATCAAATAATTGCTATAAATACAGTATTTTTGCATATTGTTTCAAACTAAATATTTAATGATTGAATGTTAGTTTAAATTTGGTTAAATGTGCAAAGTCTGTCTCTGATGATACAAATGGACTCTTCAAGTCTATATAAAGTTTCCATATTTTCAAGGATAACCTTAATCTGATGTATAATCTGTTAGTGTCGTGAGAAGTACCTATCAGTTGATACATGTCTTATTTAAAGTAAAGTATAAAATCAAACACACATTTATTTTGCATTTAGTTTAAACTTTAAAGTAATATTGAAATTAATATCAAGAATGTTGTCCGCAATCAAGGAAATAGTGACAACTCTTATAAACCTCTCTTTATTAACCATTTCTTATATTCGTACANTAAAATCAAACACACATTTATTTTGCATTTAGTTTAAACTTTAAAGTAATATTGAAATTAATATCAAGAATGTTGTCCGCAATCAAGGAAATAGTGACAACTCTTATAAACCTCTCTTTATTAACCATTTCTTATATTCGTACAGAATTTGAGTTCTTCACCACATTCTGTATAAATAAATGCATTTCTTTATTCACATTCATTTGTCTGCGGATTATTCGCCTCTATTTCGACGCCTTCACCGGTATTACAGCCCTTGTGTTCACGTCATCCCAGAAGGGAAGGGTTCCGCCGATTGGCGACAGACTATTACTACAGTCCGCACATCACTTGTCCGCTCAGATCAAGACCGGAAAGGTTTGAGTGAATTGTCTAATTATATTGTCATTAATTGTATGCAATTATCAGCTCAAGAGTGAAGTGCTGGTGAAGGCATTCGTCGATCGGATCAAAGTGGTTCAGCCGTATGTTAACGCAGTGGTAGACCAGAGATATGTGGACGCAGTTCTTGAAGCCATCGATATTGATAAACGGGTTCAACACGAGCTGTATGGCAATGACCCACTAATACCAGGGCTCTCTATCCACGACCAGCCACTCCTCGGGATCCCATTCTCGTGCAAAGACAGTGTCAGTATTGAAGGTCTGGCTATTGATGGCGCCGTCGAAGCGAGAAAAGGCATGAAAGCCGGAAGTGATGCCAAAGCCATTGAATATTTGCGAAGAGCCGGCGCTATTCCACTGGTGTTGACAAACATACCGGAGATGACAATGTGGTGGAGCTCTGCCAATTCAATTTACGGCCAGACCAACAACCCGTACGACTTGTCTCGTATTCCTGGCGGCTCTTCCGGAGGAGAGGGAGCGCTCATCTCTTCTGCAGCGTCTGTGGTAGGCGTCGGCTCAGACTTCGGCGGTTCCATCAGAATCCCCTCATTCTTCTGCGGTATCTTTGGTCATAAGCCGAGTCCTGGTTTGGTTCCCATTGACGGCCAGTTTCCCGAAATGACTCCTGAAATAAGTCACATGCAGTCCATCGGACCGATGACCAGATATTCCTCAGATCTGCTTCCGATGCTTAAAGCTATGGTCGGTTCCAACGGACGTAAACTAAAACATGACGAAAGCGTCGACCTCTCGAAACTCAAGATTTATTATATGGAAGAGAATGGGAACCCATTTGACACTAATGTGAGCCCAGATATCAAGAGTGCCATTCGTCGCATAGTGTCTCATATGAGCCAAAAGTACGGGAATTACACCAAAAAAGTTCATTTCGATGCCTTTCGGGACGCCTTCTTCATATGGATCTATACATTCAAACAAACAAAACACATTTTGGGTGAGAAGAAGACCACCACTTCCCGATGGCAGGCCGTCATAGATCTATTCAAATACTTCGCCAATATGTCTGACCACACGTTATATTATTTAATCTTAAGCGCTATCATTGAATTGACTCCAAGTGTTGACACAGAATTCGGTCAAAAGTATGTCCGTTTGGGACGAGAATTGAAACAAGAATTCAAACAGTTATTAGGCAACGATGGGGTCTTCATATACCCGACCCATCCGGAGGCGGCGCCCAAACACTTGTCAACAATTCTCAAACTTTCAAACATCTCGTATACAATGATTTTTAACGCATTAGGAGTTCCCGTCACTACCTGTCCGATGGGTCTCAATAGAGATGGTCTACCGATTGGCGTACAGATAGTGGGGTCGCCTCTCAACGATCACTTGACTATAGCTGTGGCACAAGAACTCGAGAAAGCGTTCGGCGGTTGGGTTTCGCCCTCAAAGATCGTCTGCTAATTGTTTTCTCGGATTTATAGATATTTGTAATCATTTTATGAAAATATTTTTTACTCATACTAATAATACAACTAATTCAACAGTTCTAGGTGGTTTTAAGAATTTGTAAATAATATCTTAATAAAATTTCTAAAAATCATAATTAATTTTAGGTATAATTACTTCAATAAATATATTTTACAATTAACTGTTAATTCAAACTAAAAGGTTTTTAAAAACTTGTTACGAGTTTTAAATTAAAAGTAAGTCCCTTTGTATTAATGATTAATTGAGATTCAATAGATATGAATTGCCATCCAATGTATGGGTCATTATATTTGTGAGTCAATGGATTTGCCACCAAATGATTGACCGCTTATTCATATGAATAGCAATTTATATCATTTTTCTCTAATCCTTTGCCTTTCAATTCAAGTCATTGTTTGACATCTTTTGTTAGAAACCATTTGATTATCACTTAATTACTGTAATAAATATCACATCTTATTAACTAATCTTTCAATTTATTGCATATTTGTTTGAATCCAACACAAGAGACAACAGGTATGGCAGTAGTGGTGATCGACAACGGGTCGGGTGTTTGTAAGGCGGGGATCGCCGGAGAAGATGTGCCGAGAATACGGTTCCCGTCGAAAGTGGGGCCGAAGTATCCCATAGAACACGGAATTGTCACCAATTGGGACGACATGGAGACCATATGGAGGCACACGTACACCAAACTGGAAGTGTATCCACACGAGCACCCGGTGCTCCTCACGGAAGCGCCACTCAATCCAAAGGCCAACCGCGAAAAGATGACTCAAATCATGTTCGAGAGGTTCAATACCCCGGCCATGTATGTGGCTATTCAGGGGGTACTGGCCCTCTACGCGACCGGTCGTACCACTGGTGTGGTGCTGGACGTTGGCGATGGTGTTTCGCATGTCGTTCCCATCTATGAGGGCTATACCTTTCCACACGCTATAGAGCGCCTCAATTTGGCCGGTCGTGACCTCACAGACTATCTCATGAGACTCCTCACCGAAAGGGGCCATTACTTGAGCACAGGTATGGACCGCAACAATGTCCGCACCATTAAAGAGAACTTCTGTTACGTTTCACTCGATTTTGAGCGCGAGATGACCAGCCCTTCCCCTAAAGACATGGACAGAGGTATGCGTTTCGGTGCGAACCGACAGCTCATCACAATCGGTGACCAACGGTTCCGGTGTCCGGAGGCTCTCTTCCAGCCCTCGTTGTTAGGGATGGACTCGTGTGGCGTCCATCAGATGACATACAAGTCAGTGATGAAGTGTGCGCTCGACTTGCGTAGGGATCTGATGGCCAACATAGTGGTGTCGGGCGGCACCACATTGTGTCCGGGATTTGTATATCGGATGCAGAAGGAGATGACAGCTCTCGTCCGTAAGACTATGAGAGCGAAAGTGACGGCCCCTTCGGACCCGCAATACGCCGTATGGATCGGAGGCTCTATTGTGGCCACTCTTTCCGCTTTCAATGATATGTGTGTCTCGAAGGCCGAGTACGACGAGTCCGGATCCGCTATTGTTCACCGAAAGTGTTTCTAAGCAACCATAGAGTCATCAATATTCTTGAAATTCATTTTAATTAAATTTAAATTTTCAATTTATAAATATTTTGCAATATTCAACAAATATATAAATTATATAATCAATGAATGCATTGAATTAGAAAACTATCACAATAATTGTAATTGACATTAGCTTTTGTATTGATCACAATAACTGCATTGCAATAAATATTACAACAAATAGTAGGCAATAGTTATGATTGAATGTCTCTGAAGCTGAAGTGTAAACCTTTCGGTTGCCGATGTCCTGGAGGTGACGAATATTGCCGACCATTCGCTTCAAATGACCGGTTCTTATGTCAAATGCTGTCGTATATAAAGTGCGAAACTTTTTCATCTAAATTATAATATGTTTTATTGAATGTTGCCGATGTCCTGGAGGTGACGAATATTGCCGACCATTCGCTTCAAATGACCGGTTCTTATGTCAAATGCTGTCGTATATAAAGTGCGAAACTTTTTCATCTAAATTATAATATGTTTTATTGAAAAAATTGTTTTCAAAAATCAATCATAACTATTAAGACCTGCTTTTTGTCGATGAATACGGGCTCCGGGTATATAATCCAAGTGACGGCTTCATTACAGCGAGGGGTCGTATATGAGCCGAAGTAGCGGTAAAACTCGTCACGATTTGGTGGTAATAGGCTTTCCACATAAATAGGAGTTTCAAAGGTATACTGTTGACCAATGTCCTGAACGTTATGCAAGTGATCCGTTATCATGTCGTACATCAGGTTTGGATTATCAACTTCCTGTTAAACATAAAATTAATTAATTTATTACACTTATAGCCGACAATACATACGATATACATGAGGGCTATAATAGCGTATCCATCGTCGTGAGCGTTGGCTGTTTCCATGTCATGGTATTTGATATTCATATGCATTATATGTGCCTAAGAATTGATTATATATTTCGATGAACCAATTCATTGCAATGGTT